GAGGAGTACAGCTGAAAGTGCCCGGCTGGAGTCTTTTCAGCTTCATGTTGACCGATGCACAGAATGAATACACATGGGCCATGCCTGGTAGCGTTAAAAATCCCTGTGTAGGAGGACGTGTTCTACTTGAAGTGACCATCCTGCAGGAGCGATGGACTAGGGGAAGCCATCATTTGGGGGTTCGTTTTGCTGGGGTTTTTTGTTATTGTTGTTGTTTTTGTTTTGTTTTTTCACTTTAGTTGGGATTTTATGTTTGTTCGTCCGTTTTGTTTTGTTTGTCGTTTGTTTTTTCATTTTTATTTTGTCCCAACATTTTCCTTTATAGTCTACCATTAGATATTGATCAGTTGAAGCTCATTTTAAGACTCGTTGGAACCCCAGGGGCTGATCTTTTGAAGAAAATCTCCTCAGAGTCTGTGAGTTGATGCTTTGATTGTAATTATCTGCCCTGTTGGGAACCTGCATTCCTCTTTACTTCTGTCACCTGCCTTCCATCGCTCTGTACTTTGCGTCAGGTGTGTTTGTAAGCACGCGTGCCTACTGTGCACTGACTTCGGGTGCGGTGTAAGGCTGCGTGTGGGCGCCTGTGTGTGCAAGTATGTTTTTCCTCTATCTCACTCTCTTCTGGGCATGTGTGACGATCATGGGGGCCTCTACTAGGAAACAGTGTCCCAGTAAAACAACAGGATTTGAAATCGCTTCATCCCAGAATTCATGCAAATTCTGATGGTTTGTTCTCAAGCCCTGTTCCTCAGAAGTCTTACATATACTCAAGAGCCCATTCACTCTTTGGATAATGCTTGCCCTCAGAGCGCAAACTTTACTGTTAATCCAGCTACATCCCTAGAAGAATGAACCGGGCATTAGCTGCATGCCATTGCCCAACCTCTTCCAGGAGCCATGCATTTCTGGTTTCAGAGCAGACATCCCGTGTAAGGTGTCTATCCCCAACAAATCCAGGGGGCTCCCCAAGGGCTACTTCTCAACTCAGTCCTCACACCAAAGGATACACCCCTGGTCCTTACACCCCCGAGCCATGGCAGTGTGGCTGCACAAGGCACTGAACTGCCTGAGCAGTGGGTCCATAGCTAGTAGAGATTTCAAGAGTGAGGCTATGGGACTGTGGCCCCGCTTACTTTGGCTGCGACTTTCTGCCTTGGGTCATTTTCTCGGGCAGTGGACATGCGAGAAGCCATGAAAGCCCAGTCTTTCTCCCTCCCCCGCTCTAGTCCTGCCACCACCCGTGGCTGCCACATGCAGTTGCATAAAAGGGCAAAGGAGCTATTAAGGCAAGCTTTGGTTGAGTTTTCCGGGATTCTCCTCCCAACGTTTCAGACTGAAGGGGCTTTTGCCCAGTGGGAAGACCACTGGATAGCTTCAGGCAGGCATGAGCAGGTGAGTCTGAACTGTTCGTCTCTTTGACAAATACAGACTGTCACCATCCGGTATGTATCTGGTGCAGTTCCTCAAAAGAAGAACAGGGCCCCACGTATTTCTGAATTTCTATTCCAAGGGATGTGCCAGCCCCGTTTTCCTTGGTTTCATTTATCTGATTAAGATGAGAAGCCAAAGCTCAGGAAGGCTGTGGCCTGCCCAGGCCATGCACTGAGTCACTTGGCAGAGCTGAGAATAGATCCCAGATGCTCAGAGAGGATGATCTAAACTGTGTTCTCCAGTGACCTCACGGCTTTGAAAGCCCTCGTCAGAGTGGTTGTCCATGGTGTCAACCTGAAGAAGTGTTTGCTTCGGCTTAATGAAATGCAGAAGCCAGACTGGAATGAATCGGAAAAAATATGAGATGGTTCCAGAGAGGACAGTGTTGCGGTTCATTCTTTCTTTCGGTTTTACTGCATTTTGCTTAGAAAGGTCAGTGTAGAGGACACAGGGCCAGGCACTAGGTCTCTGCCAGCTCTGTTAGTTCATGAGTAGCCTAATGAGACTGAGGTAGCAATTCCTTCCCTGTCTGGGAATGACATACCCTCAGTCCCCATTCCCACCCCCAGCCATCTGCCCTGTAAATAAACACATGCTCTTAGTCACAGGAAGTGGTTCACGTACAAGTATGGTCAGAATAGTGTCTACCCTCCACCAGGCGATCAGTACTGTTTAAGAAAAAGCTAACACTGGCTGTATGGCACAACAACGCTGTCTATCTTATGTGAAGTCGGGGTACAGCGTACATCTACACGGCTGGACTGTAGGACAAGGCTTCCAAAAGTCCATGGAAAAATGAAGTTGGAAGATCATGTATTTTCTTTCTTCAATTGAACGGGAATACTTTTATTTTCATTTAAAATCTACTTTATTCACCGCCTTGCCATTACATGCACAAGTACTGAAATGATACTTTCCAGGGTGCTAGTAGAATTTCCCACAAACCTTTTGAAGCCCCTCATGTATAACTTGACGGTGGAAAGTTGGGCTTCATGAGATTGACTACCAGAATATTATAGAATTTGCTCAAACAATACTGTGTTGAGTGTGGATATAATTAGAGAGGTTTTCTTTCCTGTGAAGTTGTGTCAAGTAGGTAAAGGTAGTCTAAACACTCAAAGGGCTGTAAAGCAAAAACCAGGCCCGCTGTTGGTGGAGTTGAGTGGGACTCGTAAAAGCATGACTGATGCTGCCCGGGTACCTGTGTATCTTGGACACCAGGTGGGACATAATCTCGGGGAAAATAGCAAAGCCGGATGATTGAAAGTATCAATGAAGGAATGTGGGAAACAAAGCCAACAGCTGTTTCCAGTGCTCCTGAAAAATAGTCATCCAGTCATGCCAGCATTTAGGTAGACCTTCAGTCAGTAAGTTCGGAGGACATGCGGAGTGGAGAAAGTATGTTGACTTAAGCACGTTGGGATGCACCATAAACCCAGGGCCATGCAGCCCCCACCAGGGGTTGGTTCACTCTCGGCTGAGTGTGCAGGGGGCTGACTAAACCATGACCCAGCCCCCAGTTCAGTGCTAGGATGCCTGCAGCCGCCCTTTGAAGCCCCGCACCAGCTCCAGGTGGTGGGGAGTGACGCTCGCTAGGCTTTGCAGCAGGGTCAGGGAAGCTGTCACTTGCCCCAAGTCACACAAAACCCAAACCAAACCCACTGCCTTTGAGTCGATCCCACTCGTAACAAGCCTCAAGGGCAAAGTACAACGGCCCTGGTGGGTTTCTGAGACTGTAAGTCTTCACGGGCGCAGACTGCCACATCGTTCTCCCACAGAGCAACTGGTAGGCTCAAACCACTCACCTTTTGGTTGGTAGCCAGGCAATTAACCACTGCACCAGCAGAGCCCCTGGTTATACCATAAGAAAGAAATCTGAGGCATGGCGGATGACGTCAGACAAGGTGGAAAAAAACCAAAATTCCTGTTTAAAAGGCATAAGCCCTTTGATGCACTCCCCTAGAATAGATTCTTCCTAGACTCCTGACGAGGGCGCTATAGTGACCTGTCGACTAAAACCAAACTCACTGCCATCAGGTTGGTTTCGACTCGGCAAACCCTGTAGGACGGTGGGGCTTCCCCCTCTGAGTGTCCGAGACTAACTGTTAGTGGAGCCCTACCTTTCCCCTGTTTGACTAAAGCAGATGGGAACAGACACGCACAGGCCAAGTGCTGTTCACCGAAAGGAAGGGAGAAGTGGCAGGACGCTTGCTGCCCCTCTCTTACAGCAAGGTCCTTTTTAATTAGGTAATTTGTTTAGCAGTAACTGAACTCCGAGCGGTGAGACTGTTAAAAGAACCCCATGGCCCTCTAACCGTGGGCTGCAGGAGCGTGAAAGACAGGCGGGCACACTTGGCCCCAGCTCTCCCCTGCTGGCCGGCCGCCAGCGGGCATTCCCAGTGAGCTGGCTACCAGGAAGTGAGCTAGTGTGGAAAGATTATTGATGGAAGCCACAAGGAAATTAAATCACTTGGCCACGGTGCCTGTTACAAATGATCCAGCCTCCCCCACCCCACAGGAAGGAACAGAATTAGTTGTTAACAAGAAACAGCATGGAAAGGAGGTCTGCGGACATGTTTACAAGAAGTGTTTTTTAAATTCCGTCACTCCTGCTTTTAGTAGGAACGCATGACAAACGGATAGCTCTCCTAGTATTTGTGGAAGGAGGGATTGCCTGGACATCGGGGGACAGTTGCAGGAGAGAGGTTTGGAAGACGAGGCCTTACCCAGGCGCCCGGGCAGGTGGAGGGCCTCATAGTTCTGCTCATCCCAGCTGATATGTGCAGGCCCCCCAGGTATTCGTTAGGTGGAATCAGGTGACCCACTTGCTAAAGTGCTCCCTGGGAGAAATCCCCGTGGCATGGTGGAATGCTGTCAGCAGTTTGTGACTTCTGTTTTGTCTTTGCTATTGGACTCTAACTGCCCCATGCCCCCTCTTCCCACTCACTGCTGTGTGTCTTACATATGCTACGACAAGATGTCTTTGGAACTTTGGCATTGCTGGCCTACCCATACGCCACCTGGGTCTCACAGTGAGCTGGGACGGTGGTACCTCAGAGAATCCACCAGAACCCAGGCCACCAAGATGTAGTCTCTTCCTCAAATGCATGTCTTGGATATTTTCTCTTGTCCGACAGTGAGTCCCATTTTTCTGTCCCGTCTGCATTTACCCCACATTTCAGGTGTGGGCCACCGGTACTTGCAAATAGTTTTCCAGTGGCTTCCTGAATTACGGGGCAGTCCGTTTCCAAGGCGCCCAAACACCTCATGCTGGTGCTAAAACCACAGGTGATGGATCTTACTTGTCGGCATGGCCGCATTAGCTACATGCCTGACGGTTCTCTGCCACTCTCAGAACACTGCTATAGCATGCAATCTCAGGCTCTGGTGGGGGCGGGGAGGCGGGGGCCATGTTTGGGGAGGGGACTAGTGATGTTTCTTCTTTCTTTTTTTTACCCCTGTTCGATTGTTTTGACATGGCTTTGGGGCCTTTTAAAAATACTTGAGTTAAAAGTTAATTTCGTTTGCACTGTATGTTTAACAACGCCCTTGACTAGGCATCTAAGATATTAACCAGCTTCAGCAGATTATGCGTCTGACGGGGACACCCCCTGCTTATCTCATTAACAGGATGCCAAGCCATGAGGTGAGAACAAGCAGACTGTGTAGGGGTGCCTGACTCGGAAGGCCGCATCCACAGCGTACTGCCACTTGATAACCGACACAGTGTCTGATGTCACTGAATGCTTGCATGTGCCTGGAGGAGAGACTAAGGCAGTGGCTGCCTGTGTGTTATTGCAAGATGTTGACATTGGGGATAAAATGTCACCCAAGCCTGTAGACTGAGAAGATAGCTTTGGGGCTTGTAAATAGAAACTAGCATTACTTTTATATATTGGGTTTTAAATCCAGTGCTCAAGAAACCATTTGTTTCTTCATAGACAGGGGCAACAAATGGCCTGCAGGGAGAGTTAGGCTACCAATGGATGGGCTTCAGCAGAAAGCTATTAGAATGTTTTTCTGTGCAAAGATTTTTTAAATGATGAAAATAAGAATCTTCATTTAAAAAAAACTACAAAACATCCACCATAAATAAGTTTTATCTTCAAAAGAATATATGCAAATAACAGTAGGTATGAACACTTGCTTAGGAAGACTGGTCCCTTCCTAACCTAGTGAGTTACTGAAGCTGTCACCGAGCTGTGTGGGACTCCTTCTCGGTTGTTCTTACTCTTTTTGGAGACCTCCCACCAGGTGGGCTGCACCGAAGCCCTTCTCAGCACCTACGCTCCTGCTTCAGCCTTCTTCAGGTGGACTGGAGTTCTCTGTGCTGGAGGAATGAGTCTTCTGGGTGAGAGGAGCACCTCCTACCGCTTGCTTGCCCTTCTTCCTTTAATCCACATGCTCCGTGGAAAGGGATTGCATCAGAATCTGTGTTAAATTCCTCTCAAACTGGAAAGAGTCTCGGCTGTCCTAAAGCAGACTCCTTCCATTTGCTTCACATGCAGTGACTAAGAACGTGAAGGTGCCACCATGTTTCTAACCATGTGTGTGAGATCACTCAAACTCACTGCCTTCCAATCAATGCCAGTCACAGTGTCTCTATAGGACAGGGTAGAACTGTCCCTGTGAGTTTCTGAGACTGTTTAACTGTTCATGAGAGGTAAAAAGTGCCTCTTTCTCCCACAGAGTGGCTGGTGGTTTTGAACTTCTGACCATAACGGTTAGCAGCCAAACGCTTAACCACTATGCCACCAGGGTTCTCATGTGAGAGGTGAACAGGCATACATAAAGGTGATGGTCATAAATGTGTGTGTACATATGCACCTTTATTGCCATATTAAAACAAGAACTTTGGTGGTGGATTAATTTGCAAAAGGATATCAATAATGATTGTACAACAAGAAAAGTAAAATCAGTGGCACGGAATCATACATGTAGACGTTGAATTACAGAATTTTTGGTTGTGTATATTTTTGCCACGATTTTTAAAATTACACTAAAAATTAATAAATAAAACAGGAATTTTAAGGCATGCCTTAGGACAGAGTCAAAGACGTTACATCCCAACTAATCAGATGAGCTGTTCGCGGATGTCTTCTTTGAAACTGGAAAGGGCATAGACACAGTTTAATTCTAACTAATACCTGAAACGTCATTTTGAATTCACATCCCTCCTTCTGTGGTGATTGTCAAGGCCACTTTCCTTTTTCAGTCAAGGTTCTGTGCCTTGATGTGAACGCTCTCAGCCCTCAAGTATCTTTGGCCCGCTAATGAAAGAAGTTCAGAAATGGTGAGACATCATGGAAAAGTGAAAGCAGTGTGTCCTGTCTACAGGTGACAGTGACCGTTCTGTGGCCCAAGTGCTGTGCTGAGGAGGCCCTTGGTTCAGTGTCTCTAGCCCTGACTCTGACACCGCGAGGTGGACACGTGCGGCTAGTCCGGTGTGACAGGAGGAGCCCGGGACATACAGAGAATCCGTGCGATCAGCCTGTCCCACTCCAGAGACTGAACTCAGAATCCCTGTGCTACTGGGGAGGGGAATGTGGCGGCACGGCTTCCGCTTCCAACGTGCTTTCACCGGCTGTATCTGACTTGGAAGGATCGCAAAAACCACGTGATCTGGGCAAACCAGATGCTGATACTTTCCTGGCGAGGTAGTTGACATGCTCGCGAAGACTTGCCCCAGCAGAGGTAGCTTGGAAGTGGCAGGGGAAGGCTTTCTGCCTGGGCTATGTAGTTTGTCATCCGCTTATAAGGGCACCTCTTGACTACCTTGTGAGATGGTTCATAAAACCATTTTTATGTGGGCTTGCATCTCTGGATAATATTGTAAACTTGTGTTTACTTTTTTATTGCCCAGACTACTTTCTTGTTAACAAGGCATAATATTGATAGCCAGTTAGTGTTCTGAAGGGCATCTACAGAGCTGGGTACCATATGCAGATGCCGGGTCCTAAACATTAATTAGGAATACCAACCCTTATGCCAACTTTTAACTCGGTCGGAAGGCAAGAGTTACTTCTCATATGTAGGCTTCATAGTTTAGGCTTTTGTTCCTGTGATCAGAAAGCTAATGAAAGAAAACTAAATTGGCTAGCCTTCCTGTTCGCTTGAAGTAGAACCGCAAGAGCAGGCATAAATAGAAGAGATGAACCTCGGCCCAGAAGGTGAGATGGCAATAAGTGGGACGTCCTTATAGAGTAGCAAAGACGGTCCAAAGCTATGGGAGCCGGCCAGCTCGGCCAGGTAACACTTCCTCCTCCACAGAACAAGAATCTCTGCGACAGTGACTGTGAACAAAGCCATTCTGAAAACCCATTTCATTTACAGGCCAGAAACTACATTCAGTCCTTGACCCAGATGCCGAAGATGAACTTTGCAAATGTATTTCTTGGTGCCAACCCCCTGGGTAAGTGGACCACCTCCTCTTCTCCGGGACACAGAATTAATTACAACAGGAGTTAGGGGCTCGAGGAGAAGTTTTTCCGGTGGGTTAAATCGGGCACCGTTAAGTAAATCTTCCAAGGTAACACAGAGCTCATCTGTCTTTGTGTTGTGAAGTCTTCTCTCTCCACGTGGCACGCGTGTCTGTGTGGGCAGGGCGGCGTGGGCACTGGGCTGGCGCAGGAAGGGAGGAGGAAATGGTGGGCGTTGGGAGACCAGATTGGAGGAGCAGGAAGAACAAGGCGCAGAGGAAAGCCCACGCCTTGTTCACATCTGCTGACGGGTTACAATCCCCCCAAGTTCAGGGTACCAAGAGCTGCAGCATGGATGCGTGCTTAAAAGCAGGGGTCCTCAAACTTTTTAAACAGGGCCAGTTCACTGTCCCTCAGACCCACTGGAGGGCCGGACTAGAGTTAAAAAAAAACAAACTATGAACAAATTCCTGTGCACACTGCACGTATCTTATTTTAAAGTAAAAAAAAAACAAGGCAAAACCACCCGGCGGGCTGGATAAATGTCCCCGGCATGGCCCGCGGGCTGTAGTGTGAGGACGCCTGTTTAAAAGACTACCGCCACCCCAGCTGTCGGGGCGTGTGGGGTCACTCTCCCGGCAGGGTTGGTTCGGGCTGCCTCTGCCCTGGCCTGTGCTCTCCCTGGTTTGGGGTGATTTATCTGAGCTAACTAGTTCGAGGAGGTCTGAGTTGTCTCTGAGCCCTAAGTACTCCTTAATGATGGGGAAAGATGCTGTCTGCCAGTAGCTGCATTCTTATCTGTCAGTCTGTTCTGGATGTTTTCATCCAACTCGACTCAGGTTTAGAAAGACTGGTGGAGGCCCAGCTCACTGCCTCGGAAAAACTCACAGCTGTGGCATAGGTGGGAAACGTGTGTGTCCTGGCAGCCTGTCTAGGTCACATGCATCCCTGTCCCCTTGGAATCATGACATTTAAACATTTGAAAGAACTGACCACCACTTGGTAGTACCTGACTGCTACCTGGTAGTGAGCTGATGCTAGGACTTGGCCCGCGTGCGCTCAGCCCGGCCCTTGTCGGGAAGTGAAAAGTGTCTGATAGCAGCTCCGTGCCAGACAGCAACGTCACAAGAAGAATCTCCTCGGACTTGGCAGACGGGACACAGTGTTACTGATCCTGGCCTCCTGCCCGCCCTGAATACAGACCAATCAGGAGTACACTGCACTATAACTATTAGCAACTCCTTATTTTATGGTCACTGACTTCATGTTCCTTCATTATTCCCAGCATATCAATCAAAGTCTAACTTGCCCTTTACTGTTACTAATGTACATTCAAGGGGGCTTCGCGAAGTTTTGGGGGAAACTTCCATTCAATTTTCATTTCTGTTTTTCTTTTCTTCTTTTTTTTTTTACAGTGTCGGCCAGCAGGGCACTGCCCCTCTGAAGGTGGCAGAGGGGCATTCTCTGCCCTGTGACCCTTCACTTTTGGAGGCCTTAACTAGTGACGGCAGCATGGTACAGAGCTGCCTCACCTTCTCAGTCCTCCACTCAGTTCTGTTTTTCCCTAAACTTTTTTTTAAATTCCCCCCTCGTAATTTACACCTGTAGGATGTTTGAGGGTTCTTTTTCTTACCCCTGCCCTGATTCCTCATTATAGGCCCTGGTTATAGCAACATGGTGCCTACTTCTTACCCTAGTGGGGGCCGAGTGCGCATGTGAGCCGTCTTTAGTCATAAAACCAATAGCTGATGAGATTTCTAGGACAGGAAGACCATTGGGAGCAAAGACTGTAATCCTTCTACTGCTTTATGAACTTTAACCAGCACAGGAATATTGGCTTGGTTTCTGTATCCTTGGAAAGCTCATTTCCCCCATGGGTACTAGGGACCCAGTAGGTCTATTGTAGCCCCCAGTGCAAGCAAGAGTAGATGTCTTTGGGAAGCTGGTTAGTTCACCTCCCCATCTCCAACCCCATGCCCACCCCCACCCCCATCCCACATTAAAGGAACCATCAGTAACTGCAAAATCTCAAATCCTTTGTATTTCACCAGTGATTAACAGTGCTCACAGCAACATGCATCTTCCCCTGTGCGCCCCTTCTCTCAAACGTAGAAA